ATATCTTTGTGCAAACACAAACCCTAATTTGGGTCAACAGTGCAAGGAGAAGTCTTGAGCAGAGGAAACCCTAACTGGATCTTGATCTTCAAGGGTCTTGTGATGAGAAAATGTTGAGGAAATGGGAGGGAAAATTTTGGGGTACAACACTAGTCATCTAGAGTATCCAAATGAACGAGAAAAATGAGTAAAACTAGGGAAATGTATATTTGAATCAACTTATTTTCAATTATTTTGATGTTATGCCATTTATGTTTACAGTTTAAAACACTTTTCGTTTTATTTTACAAGTCTTGCTTTATTGTTTATAAATCGTTTGACATCAGTCGAATGAATTCTTTTTTGAAAACACTTTGTGAAAACACTCGAAAACTGAAGCATTGTACTGAGATTCCCTGGCCGACGTCGCAAGTAAAATTTTGTTAAGAGACCAGCGTTGTTGTGATACAGTGGAAAGAACTGACTGTTTTTGGAATGCTGGTTTGCGTTTTGCGTTTGTTTTTGCAAAATGTCGCGGTAAGCAAGAGTCGCCACCGACTTTTATTTTATCCAACAAGGAAAAGAATAAAAACACAGAAAAATTCCTTTTTCGAGATATTTCTGAGTACGGGGGGGGGGGGGGGGGGGGTAGATTATAGAAAGGGAAGGTATTGGCACCCTTTCTATCCGTGGTTATCCACGGGCTCTTAGGTACTTGCTCATTTGTTTTCAAAATTGCTTTCTTTGTGCTTGTGGGTTTGAAAAAGTTTTTTGTTTGAAACTCCGATTTAACTCTTGCTTTTGTCCTCAAGAGTGTAATGAAGTGTTTTGAAAACTTGTTTGTAAAAGTGTAAGTGTGAAAAGGTTTTTGTTTTGAATGAACAAGTACCTAAGAACTATCTACCTACTCGAAAAAGGAATCGTTTCATGCTAATTTCCTTTAGACAATGTTATCCCACTATTAGTGAGTAGGTAGCACCGTCGTTGGAGTTTGAGGGTCAATTCGAATGAGGGACATACGGTCACTAAAGCAATGTTAGGACGCCTTAGCGGTAACCCTAATGTCTTAGATCATTTGTTTGAGGCAACAATATCTGAGGCAACCATTTCGAGGCGACTATGATCTTTTAGACAAGAGGACGACCTCTAAAATGACATATACTCAATGACCGTGTACGAAGGCAACCAAGTGGGATGTACCCTAAGAGTGCGCATGTGCGAGTGTGTCGTTTTCAGTTATTTTTATCTTTGAACATGTCAAGGATGATCTAATTTGATTTTAAGATTAAGCATTCAGTCTTGTCATGCAAACCCTATTACGAAACATCTAACAGTTGTATAGTTTGCAAAAATTAAAATGCGGAAATTAAATTACAAGGCGTCGAGTATTTACATCGCCAAAAGCAACCCTTTGAAAATGAAATAAAGCGGTAAAATAAATAAAATGTTCTAATTATCTATTACATACCGGAAGCAGATACATCAATATGGAAAAATAAATAAAGCGCGACGCGAAATTAAATCAGATGCAAAATTAGGGTTTTGACCCTTTTAAAAGAAAAATGTTTTTTTGCTTTTATTGTTTTTATTTAGGAAAAGAAATTAATCCTAAAACTAAATACTAAATTAATTATAAAATAAATTAATTAATGAAAAATAAATTAATGACATATTTTTGGAGTTTTTGATTATTTAAGAAGGAAATTAAAATAATTAAATTATGTTAAAACCTAATTAATTCTAATTGATTTTATTTATTTACAAAGAAAATTAAAGTTGTTCTAGAATTAAACCTAATTAATTTAGTTAGTATTTATTAATAAAAAAAATAAAAGTTCTAGAATTTTATTGGATAAAAAAAGTATTTTTGTGATTTTGTGATAAAAAAAAGAAAATTAATCCATTGGTTAGAAATTAATAACTTAAATAAAATAAAAAAATTAAATTAAATAAATAAAAGTGAGAGAAAGAGGGAGTGGGCCTGAAATCTGGAGGTGTTGAAAGCCATGTTTTGTTGGCCCATTAAGCTGATCCGTTGGACTTTTGGGATCCAGTACACATACGTTGACCTGGCTTTTGGTGCTCCTCTGATGCTGACCACCAGATCTGGCCATCTGGCACGCTTGATGAGGAAGGCGCATGGTGGATTGCAGACTTGCATGCACACTAGATTTCCTGTAAATAAATAAGAAAATGCAACTTGCTGGAGGCAGGGATCGAACCCCTGACCTCCAGCCTTTTGGTCTTTGAACGCTTATGTGGCCACCACTAGGCCAAGTTGTTTCTTTTGTTATTATAATGCAAATGAAATATAATATATGAAAACAAATCAAATGCCAGAAAAATGAAAGAAGCGCGCAAACGTTTTGAATGGGCAAATGGAAGGATGACACCTCATCGTCCCTGTCCTTCAAAACTGTAACTTTTACCTGCGGATTTTTATCTGCAGCTAAAAGCGTAGCCTCATTCCAAAATCCTCCTCAGGCCATGAAAATGCCTTCTAACACCATGGTTAGACTCGCCTTCCTCTTCTGGTCATAACTATAGCCATTACTAAGGCTGATTTTTCCTGTAACGAAAACCCCTAAACCAAACCTTGGAACCCTAACTATGGTGAATTACAATACATGTTAGATGAATGAAATTAAATGATACCAAAAGACTGCAAATGGCATGGTGAATCAAAATATGCAATTAATTTTCGTTATAGATGCAAGAATAACACAAATCAATTTCAAGAATGGGGCAAACTCGTGAGGGACTTACAGAGCTTGGGAGGGTCTGAAAACGCGTTGTCTTGATTGGGTTAGCTTGTGGTGATGGCCAGGAAACGATTGAGACCAATATCAAGCCCTGGAAATGCCTCTAGACCTGATTTCGATCTCCCACTTTTTTGTGATTTTTGCAACTCTCGTTCTGCCTCCACAATTGATTTCCAACCCTGATTCTTGTGTCCTTCGCTTGCTTATGTATTGTGCAGTGTATTAGGGTAACAAACTTTGTCCAAATCTTTCTACATTGATGGTTGAATATTTGATTTGATCTTCCATTAAAATCTTCCAATTTTGGCTTGAATCCAATCTTTATGTGCTCTAATGCCTTGATCCGAGTTTGATTGCAAATCTAGCTGTAATTAGAGCCTGAAATGATCAAGAAATCCATTGGTATCAATGCTTTGGATTTTATTTGATTTTATTTGATTTTATTTGATTTAAAATGAATTAATTTAAATAAAAATCAAATTAAATAATAAAAATAAGATATGGATGCACGGCTAAAGCTAGAGCACGTGGGAAATAATGCAAACTCAAAACAAGTGAAAAAGAATGGGTCCATTTGGCAAAATTTGAAGTTTTGGGGATAGTTGACTTTTGACAATTTTGCAAAAAAGTCCAACTTCAACAATACATAACTTCTTCAATTTTGAACTTTTGGAGGTGTTCTTGGACTTTTTAGAAATCTTGAGATGTCCTATAACCAACCCTTTTTGTCTCATCTCATTTTGATATTCCATACTCAAGTTAGAAGCTTTGACAAAAAAAGGTGTTTTTGTTGACTTTCAAAAATAACCTATAATGTCAAAATTCATAACTTCTTGTGAGTGCATATTTTGATCTTGGGGTATGAAGATGGATTGTAGGGAATTGCATCCTCTTCAAAATGAGATTTGGATGGGTCATTTCTCATAAAGTATGAGAAAGTTATGCGATTGAAGACCAAAGTTCCTTCATCATCTGTAATGTCTAATTCTTATATTTTTGTAATTCTCGTTAACAATATGAATGACTAAACCCCCAATGCTAGGGAGTATCCCTAATTTGAATCCTGATCGAACAAATTAGGATTGATTTACGGTTAACAACCAGTTAGACTGCAGTTGTTAAGATTTTTGTACAATTAGACTATAGTAAATATAACCTAGGATGAGAGATACCCTTTAGTCACCAGATTTAACCCTTGATAAAATAAAGGCTTGACTCCATCAGATATCTTTAAGGACTTAGAATTTAGGATGGATAATTAAAGATTTTCTCACTAAAGACTTAGGAGAAAATACTCTAAAAGGCTGGTAGTTGAATGTTATGAACTTGTTGAAGAAATCAGGATTCAAGTTCGTTATAGGACAAATTACGCACCACACCCTAGCATGTTCATCATATATGTGAAAAAACATATTTATATTTCTTCTTATATTCAGTGATAATTTCTAAAACCAAAATCACAAGTTAAATTTTTGTTTAATTGAACCACGCATTAAACTCAATAATTACATGCCGTCTTTGAGATCGACATTCAGGTAATCTCTCTATTCTTATAAGAGACAAAAATGAATGCACTTTTTCTCATGGGTTCGAAACCCCTTCAAAATTTTGTTTTATTTAACTAATGATATAAAATATAAATTTTAATTTAATTCATTAATTATGTTATTAAACTGATTTAATTCATTAATTCCATTATTAAAAAAATGTATATATAATAATTCAAACAATTTAATCTTTCAAAAATAAATTCAAAATCATGATTTTTTTTGGTTCTTTTAATGAAGATAATAATTTATATTATTATTGATATAAAAATAATAATAAATGAGGAAATTCAATTATGCCATATAGCTTCTGCCACATCTTCAATTTATTTATCACATTTTGAAAAATGAGACTCAAATAAAGTAATAGACTAAAATTTAAAATAAAAAAAATGAAAATGAAAGAACCATATAAATCCAATTTTAAAATAAGAGGTTTAAAATTAAAAAAATAAATAATAATAAACCAAAGCTATAATTGAGCAATATATAACCGTGGATATAGAGTAATACATGTTTCTCTCGATCTCTTTCCAGGGTTACTCTTTCAGAGGAATTGGAGATGGAAGAATCGGAGGCAATCGTTGCCACAAGCAAAAAGGTTAGAAACTATATACCTGAAGATATCACATTCTGTATTCTCTGTAAATGAATTACAATAAGGAGAAAAGAAGCATGAACAAGTATTCAGAATCACTAAATTAATTATATCTTAAGGTAAAAGCTGTACATAACCGGTTAATATAGCTATTCCTAGTATTATAAGAGGTGGAAGAATCACAAATGCTCCTATAGTTGCAAAAAAAGTTGAATCATTTCTTTGAGAAACTTCATTTAAATAATTTTGTCTCTTGATATTTCTCCTTTGTGAAGTTGTTAAGAATTTCGCACTCACTTTCTTCAAGTTTTTACCTAAGGGAATGGTGAAATCGTCGTCCCTGTCTCCAACCAATTGCGCAAGCTGGTCGCGAATTGAAAGTTTCCGAGACCTGCCATCGGTTTCATTACCTAGAAAGCGTAAATGCTCCTATAGTTATTATCCAAAACCAGATAAACCATTGAACAATTGATTTTTAGAACAAGTTAAGTTGCATACTATTGATTGATGAGGTTGTAGATGTAAATTGCTCCAAAAGATCCAGCTGTGCACGAGAAGAAGATAAAGATCCTAACAGTAAATGTCCACAAAAACAAGTCAGACATTTAATTTCATCTATTACGCCATAGACCAGAACCACACAAGATTAAGATATGGAAATTCATGATAATGATCTAAGGGAAGTTTATTTATATGGAAATTCATGCTTAGCATACCAAGAGAAGAATCATCCTCAGAAAAACCAGCGTCAGCGTCAGCTCCTTGTGATTGAGCATATATCTTGTTTATTAAAGAAGAAGGATGGTTGAATTTGATGCTATGTTTGTGTGAGAGAAAGGAAGGGTTTGAAGGAAGAGAAGAAGTTGTGGTGAGGTTCAGATTGATGGCCATGAGAAATCACAAGAAGTATTGCTGGGATTGATAATTGGCATTCATTTTTGGTTTGAGAATTTCATTTTTGTGAAACTTTTTGGGTTTATATGAATTAGGCAAAGGCGGTAGCTCACTACCACAAATAAATATTTATTTATCCATTTTTTGTGTGATGAAAGATTCTAGTTCCATGTAGGACCAATTTTCAACGTGTGTCTCAAAATTCTAGTTAAATGGACTTCAATTACACTATTTTGCTTGTACTACATTTTATTATCTTCTCTTTTTTAGTGCAATGATCTCAATATGTTGTCAAATATTGTTCTTATCAGAAATCCAATTTGATATTTTCTGACTGTTAGCTCTTTTACCACTAGAATCCAAATATTTGAGTATTTTGTAAGAAAGAAAAATAGGAAGATCTGAATTAAAATTTAATTTTACTTAAAATCCTCTAATAGTCAAACCACTAACCCTAATTAATAACAAGTACCTAAAATTAATTCCTTTAAGTTCTGCATACTTTCATCTTGCTTATTTTGAAATTTATATACCTCAAACTCTTTTACTTTCTTACAATTATGAGGAACAAGTGCAGTTTTATTCTCGTCTAAATTTTCTTTCATATAAAATTAGTAGGTATGAAAATAAAATGAGAAAGAGGGGGGTGTTGTCTTCATAAGTTCTTATTTGTCATATGTGAATTATGTTGAATAAATTTTAAATGTTATAAGTAGTTGGTTTTTATTAACAAAGTAGTAGAAAGGCTAAGAATCAAATGTAATTGGAATGTCAAAAGATAGTGTATTAAAATAGTATTTATTAATAGCATTTACTTTCTTAAAATAGTAGAAGTCTTTGGGTCTATATAAAGACCAAGATTGTATTTTATTAAAAAATAAAATATAAAAGTTTGCTCATTCTCTCTAACAAATTGGCATCAAATCTAATGGCAAACATGATGGCAAACATGATGAATCAAATGTCGTTGCCACGACTAACGAAGTCAAATTACGAAAATTGGAGTATCCAAATGAAAACTCTTCTTAGATCTCTAGACGCGTGGGAGGTGACTAGAGATGGGTTTGGAGAACCAACAGAGGTTGCAGGACATATGACAGCTCAAACTAAGGCGTTAAAAGAGACGCGATCGAAGAATAAAATGACATTATACATGTTGTTCAGGACTGTTGACGAATCAGGCTTCGAAAAAATTGCTGGTTCGACTACGTCGAAAGAAGCATGAGACACGTTAGAGAAAGTGTTCAAAAGAGCAGACCGAGTGAAGCAAGTTCGACTCCAAACTCTTCGTGACGAATTGGAGAGGATGCAGATGAAGGAGACATAAATTGTATCTGACTACATCACACGTGTACAAAAGGTGGTGAACCAACTCACTAGAAATGACGAAACAGTAACTGATACATGAGTTGTTGGAAATATCTTGAGATCTTTAACAGATAAATTTGAGAATATTGTGTGTGCAATAGAAGAATCGAAGGACCTTTCGACGCTCTCAGTCAAAGATCTCGCTGGTTCTCTCGAAGCACATGAACAACGTAAGATGAAAAAGAAGGAAGAAGTAGTCGAAGAAGCAAATCAAACCAAGGATTCGATCAAAGACGAAAAGGTACTCTTTTCTCAAAACTTTCGAGGTATAGGACGTGGCCATGGAGGTCATGACAGCGGTCGAAGTGGTCGAGGCAGCAACTTCGAGAGAGGACACTCGAACCAACAAAATTAGCATGGTAGAGGACATGGTCAAAGAGGTAGTCGATTGAACCACTCCAACTTCGAATGCTACAAGTGTGGGAAGTATGGTCATTACGCGAAGAATTGCAATTCTTACAAATGTTATAACTGTGATAAAGTGAGACATCTTGCAAAGGATTGTCGAATCGAAAAGAAGGTAGAAGAAACAACCAATCTAGTCTTGGAAGCTGAAGCGAATGAAGGTTTTCTCCTGATGGCTCAAAATGAAATCAACACCAATAATGACCATGTTTGGTATCTTGACTCAGGAGCAAATAATCACATGTGTGGTTACAAACACCTGTTTAAAGAATGAAAAAAATTGAAGATGGTAATGTGTCTTTCGGAGATGCATCAAAAGTGAAGGTCGAAGGAAAAGGTACAATCTGTTACTTACAGAAGGATGGCTTGATTGGATCAATCCAAGATGTTTACTATGTACCAGGTCTCAAGACCAACATCTTGAGTTTGGGACAACTTACAGCAAAAGGATTTTCGATATTTATAAAAGATTGAATACTGCATTTGAAGGACAAAGCAGGACATCTGATTGCCTGTGTCGAAATGGAAAGAAATTGAACATGAAAACTAAATATGAGGAACGTTCGAGAGAAATGTCTACAAGTCGAAATGCAAGACAAAACGTCACTATGGCATATGCGCTTTGATTATCTACATCATGCTGGTTTGAGAAGTTTGGCGAAAAGGAGCATGGTGTACGAACTACCAGACATAGATTATGAAGGAAAGTTTTGTGAAGAATGTGTGCTCAGCAAACAAACAAGAACCTTATTTCAAAAGAATGCGGAATATCAAGCTAAAAAAATTCTCGAATTGATTCATACTGACATGTGTGGGCCAATCACTCCAGAATCCTTCAGTGAAAAAAGGTACTTCATTTCTTTTATCGAAGATTTCTCATGAAAGACCTGGGTTTATTTCTTGAAAGAAAAGTCTGAAGCATTAGAGGTATTCAAAAGGTTCAAAGTAATGATGGAGAAGGCAACTGATAGACATATCAAAGCAGTTCGATCTGACAGAGGTGGTGAGTACACTTCGACGGACTTTATGAAGTATTGTGAAGAGCAGGGCATAAGGAGATTCCTAACTGCACCATATTCACCTCAGTAAAATGGTGTGGCTGAAAGAAAGAATAGAACTATTCTTTACATGATTCGATCAATGCTTAAGAGCAAGAACACGTCGAAAGAATTCCGGTTAGAAGCTGTACAATGTGTTATTTATGCTCAGAATCGATGTCCACATTCAAAGTTAGAAGATCAAACACCACAAGAAGCATGGAGCGGACAGAAGCCAACGGTTTCTCATCTCAAAGTATTAGGTAGTGTAGCTTATGCGCATGTACCATATCAACAAAGAACGAAACTTGAAGACAAAAGTCAAAAGTATATATTCGTTGGATATGATGAGAAGACAAAAGAGTACAAGCTATTCGACCCCATAAGCAAAAAAGTGATCGTGAGTAGAGACGTTCGAATAAACGAAGCGAGCAAGTGGGACTGGAATAATTCAACAGAAGTTATAGACGCAGTCGAAGAATCATCTATAGCTGTACCAACAAGCATTTCAACAGAACATGAAGATAATAAAAACGAAGATGAACCTCTACAACCCAGAATGCGAAGTTTGCAAGACTTATATGATTCGACAAATGAGGTACACCTTGTGTGCCTTCTGTCAGATGCTAAAAACATTAGTGTCGAAGAAGCGTTACAAGACAAGAAGTGAAAAAGTGCCATGGACGAAGAGATTAGAGAAATAGACTGCAACAACACCTGGGAGCTAGTCGAATTGCCAAAATATAGTCAACCTATTGATGTAAAGTGGGTATTCAAGAAAAATATGAACGCTCAAGGAGAAATAGAAGGATACAAAGCACGACTTGTTGCGAAGGGATACAAACAGAAAGCAGGAATTGACTATGACGAAGTGTTTTCACCTGTTGCAAGAATGGAGACAATTCGATTGCTTATTTCTCAAGCTGCTCAATTCAAGTGGCCAATATTTCAAATGGATGTCAGACATCATTTTTTAATGGTATGCTCGAAGAAGAAATCTATGTCGAACAACAACTCGGGTATATGAGGATTGGAGAAGAGAAGAAGGTGCTGAAATTGAAGGAAGCGCTATATAGGCTGAAGCAGGCACCACGGGCATGGAACACACACGCATAGACACATATTTCAAGGAGAATGAGTTCAAACAATGTCTGTATGAACATGCCCTCTATGTGAATAAAATTGGAAGTAATATATTACTTGTTGCTCTCTATGTTGATGACCTTATTTTTTTTAGGCAGTGATGTTCAAATGATAGAAGAATTCAAAAGCACCATGACAAGCGAATTCGAAATGACATACTTAGGTCTGATGAGATTCTTTCTTGGTCTGGAGGTTCGACAAGAAGAAACTGGAATTTTTATTTCACAAGTAAAATATGCAAAAGAAATCTTGGAAAAATATACGATGAAAAGTTGTAATCCAACTTCGACGCCAATGGAACCATGCGCAAAATTGTCGAAATTTGATGGAGGAAAACGTGTCGAAGTAAGCAAATATCGAAGCTTGGTAGATAGTCTTCGCTATATCACATGCACAAGGCCAAACATTTCTTTAAGTGTTGGCATTGTAAGTCGATTCATGGAGGAGTCAGTACATTCACATTGGAAGGTATTAAAATGAATCCTAAGGTACATCCAAGGAACAATGTCATTTGGAATATTCTATTCAAGAACAGAAGACTACAAGTTAGTTGGTTACTCTGACAGTGATTGGTGTGGAGATATAGACGATCGAAAAAACACTTCTGGATATGTGTTCTTCATGGGAAACACAACATTTACTTGGCTTTTTAAAAAGCAACCGATAGTAACACTTTCTACGTGTGAAGCTGAATATGTGGCAACATCTTGGTGCGTTTGTCATGCAGTATGGCTTTGAAGATTGATAAGCAAGATGGAGCTAAAACAAGAAGGTGCAACAGTAATACAAGTGGACAACAAATCAACAATCGAGTTGGCAAAGAATCCAATAAACAATGAAAAAAGCAAACACATTGACGTTCAATTCCACTTTATTTGAGAACATGTGAAGGAAGAAAGTGTCGAATTGAGGCATGTAGCAAGCAAGGATCAAGCAGTATATATTTTCACAAAATCATTGTCGAAAGAAATTTTCGACAGAGACAAGAAATTGATAGGCATGATGGATAGAAGAAACATTTAAGTTTACAGAGGAGTTTTGTTG